GGTCAGCGGCCGGGGGCTGGAGTACTCAAAGGCCACAGGAGAAGGGCCGGAGGGGAAGGACGGGGCGGCAGGCTGGCGCGGGCCGGGGGCGGAGGACCGGGGTCGGGATCCCAGGGCCCCATTTGCCGCCACTGGGTCCGGGGAGCAAAGCCACAGCCTCCGGCTCCCCGGAGAGGTGGCAGGAGCCACGCGCAGAGTCCCCGCGAAACTACGTTCGCCTCCACCCCGCGTGCTCGGGCCCAACCCGGACCCACCTCGCTCCCGCCGCTCGGTCAGGGACAGCGCTCCGCGGAGGGCCGGGGGCGGGGCCGGAGCCGGAACCCGGGGAGGCTCCACGCGGCCTCCCCAGGATTGGGTCCTGGGAACTGCCCTCCCTTCCCATTGGCTGCACCAGCTGCCACAACGCAGGAAACCCGAGCGGACCGCCAGCGAGCCTTGGACGGGGTGGACTGCTGGGAGTTGTAGTCCTGAGGAAGACTAGGCTCGGAGGAGAAAGGTGCCGAGTGGGGAACCCGGGGGGACGCTGGGTTTCCTCCCGAGGTCGGCAGGTGTCCTTCTGCGCGTGAGCGTGGAAAGCCCAACGTGCAGGGCCGCTGGCCTGGGAACTTGTAGCGCATGTAGAGCTAACCTCCGTGACCTCCATGAGTCGGTGACTCTGGGTGGTTCTGTAGACATCCCGCGAAGCCTAGAGCCCCGAGCCTCAATCGAGGTTCATACTTTAAAGTCAAAGGGTTGAAGAGTCTAGAGATCATCCATCCCAATCCACTTGTCAGGAAAGCTAAACCTTCGCCATCCTAGGAGCCACCTCCAGGTCTCCTAACACCCCTGCACACGGATTTTTCTGGGTTCCGTGTATTTAAACCTGACTGTTCATCAATCCTGGCGGAACAAGACCACTAATGTATACCCAGAATTAGGATTTTATTTTTTTTTAGGTTTCTTTTTTTTAAAAAAAGCCTAATTAAATAGGTAGACTAAAATTCTACAGGCTTCTCATATCTGGATGGTATTTCAGCACTAAGAGTATTCTCTTCAGAGCTAAATAAACCAGATTTATAATCCCAGTTCTAGCACCTAGTCATTTGGAGCACCATTTACCTCCCCTATAAAATCCCTGGCAGAGTTGTTGTAAGGATATATCAAGCTTCTGCCTCCACAAATGCCAAGTCTCTTTCCTGCTGGTAAATTCTCTTGGGTGCATCCCATGTGAACAATGTTAGTTTTAAGACTGGGATAGTCAAGAAAGTGAGTTTGAAACCGAATATGGATGAGTGACATATAAATACCCCCCCACACTATTAGTTTATAAATTGATGTAAATAAAATGCTGAGAAGGCAGACTCAAATAAAATTATGGCTTTATTTTTAACTGTGGTTAAAGCTTGCTTGGGTGAATTCAAGTCTGTCTGGAAATCAATCCCGTAATGTGTTCTTCTCTTATCAGTCCAAAGTCTTTTCCTACAACTTCTCATTCATAATGAAAATAACGAACAACATATACCAAACTTTTATTTAAGAACTGTACAAAAGCAAATGAAAAATTCTACTTGGTATGGCTCAGTGGGTTGGAATGTGGTCCCATACACCAAAAGGTGGCAGGTTTGAATCCAGTCAGGGCACATACCCAGGTTGCAGGTTCAATCCCCGGTCAGGGCATGTACAAGCAGCAACCGGTACATGTTTCTCTCACATCAAAGTTTCTCTCTCTTTCTCTCCCTTCCCCTCTCTCTCAAATCAATTATATATATATATA